TTCGCGCCTAACGAACATTGTTTCGTAACAATTACATCATTATACGTTTTGCAATGTGTATCGAATGAGAGAATGTTCAAGGGTCCCGTAATTAGACGGTATTCGCCATCGGTGGATTGATTCGTCCACTCGCGCGCTTCGCTCGCAGCGTTTTAGCATACAACGAAACGATAATAATTTTGCGGAATTTCGCAAAAACGCCGGCAATACTCGGCTCTCCAGACGAAGGCCGTCTTCGTTGCGTCGCAGTGGAAAAGCTTCATTCGAAATTCACCGTTTCCTCGACGGGAATTAACGCGATTTCGTTTTCACGTGCGTTTTTGCCACGACGATTAAATGAAATATCTGTCATTTCTTTTCTCCCTTACTTTCACATAACGCGTTTGTATACATGCGTACATACACGTGTCTCGGAAAAGAAACTCGGATCACTTCGCGCGCGACCCGAAGTAACCAGGTCGGATCAACGATCGCGGATCAAAGCGCGATTTGATCGATTGAATTCCGATCACGCGGCGGAAGAGGGCTCGCTCAATATGATCGACACATACCAGCGACGACGTGATTTTCACCTTGACCGTGAACGGGTCATTGTCCAACCGGCCGTCTCGATTTTTCGACCTCGTCGAGACGCAAGGTGGAACACGGCGCGTCGACCGAAGTGAAAAGAAGTTCGATTAATAACGGCTCATGACAAAATAAATTAGGATTAAGTTTCGGCGGCCCCGGGCGAAACTTTCGCGTCCTTATCCAATTTATATTTGAAACAGTGCCCACCGGCTAAACCTGCATATTGTTCGGCGAGTTTCAGGAGTGATTATAAATTAGAGGATATCGAGAGAGTTTCGCGCGGGAACGTGTAACCGGATTAAATACCGGATTGAGGATCGCGATCCTGTTGAAAAGATTGCGAAGACGAGGAGCGACGAGACGGGTGTCCGCGTTAAGTACACTCGATAACTCTTCCACGTAAGTGCGCTTAATCTTTTACCCGACAGAGAACGCACCGATCTCTTTCATAACGCAGTCTTTGGAGATCTCTGGTTTACCCAAACCTCAGTTTGCCGTGTTTCGAAAGAGAGACGGGTCATCCTTGATATTTATTGGCGTAGGTGAGTCACTATCAGCTGCAGATGGCGAAATGCTATCAGCAGCCCGCAAGTCATATATACATTATATATCGAATTGACGAAAAGTTCGTTCCGTTTCCTTCATCAAAATATGCATGTGTATATATTTGTCTATACATACAAAATCCGCATTTCGATATTCTTCGTATATGTGTGCTCGCGCGGCCGTAAAAACTCCTTGTAAAAGCTACCCACGATCCCGGCTTTACGAAGCAAGGATTCGACGCATGCTCGTTCCGCGCGCAGTTCCTGAGAGCGTGAAATAGGCGAGGCTAATCGATACGGTGCGTTTCATCGGTTAGAATCGCGCCCGCACGCTTAGAGATGTTTATCGCGCCCGTCGCACGATAATTACGCCGTTTCTTCGGAGCGCGTAATCGACCCGGCTCGCGAAAAGGCGAGCGCGTTGGAGCGCCGTTCTCTCCTCGAGAGTCGACTTTTCCCGTATTATCCCTACTCGCGAGAAGATTTTCCTGGGATCATCCGCGGGAGATCGAAGGTGAGCTTACGTCGACGATCGCGAAGGATCCGCAGTAGTTCAAGGAGAGAGTGAGCGGCCGAACGAACACGTAATCTAGGAAGGAGGAGGAGGCGAAGAAAAGCTGCCGCGGGTCAGTGCACCATCTCGCAGGAGGAGATGGCGCCTGATAGGAGCGCTTGGAAATGCCGATTGGCAATTGACATTTATCGTCGACCCCGCGGCCGTCCTAGACGAGATAATGCAAACCCTCGAGAGAGCCTCTTCTCGCCGCGATGAATCCGCGAGCAATCTCGCAATCGCCGATGAATTTCGAGGTCTAGGCGGCGACGGGCGAAACCGGCCGCCGTAGTGACCTTTTCGCAAAGTAGCGATGAATTCGCCCGCGAGCGGTAAAATCGCCTCTCGTCCGAAAGTAACGCGAGGCGGTCTTGAAATTCGCGACGAATGTGCGCAATTTCACGGTGGTTTCCGCGGCGTGACCTAGAAGAGCGATTTATGCCCGGCGACTTTTACTTCGCCGGCCGGTCGACGGGATCGATCGTGAGGATAAGGAGGATTCACGTTCGGGCTCTCCTAGAGCACGACGCGCCATAGGTCGACGGGGAAAAGAGCGGGATAGAGAGGCGCACACGGTGAACTACGAAAACTGGTTTCCCGCGGTTCCCCGTATTTATCGTGTGCACATACGGTGAACGTGCGCCCGCCTCGGCATCTCGGCGTGTGCATCTCGCCAAGGACTCGGCAGCAACGTGCATTTAGAAATGCCATTGGGTCCTACGGTGGCGAGGAAGGCCTCCGAAACGTCGACGCAGAGGGAAAGGATCGCTCCAACTTCTGCTTCCGAGAGCTTCAGATTCGCTCGAGCGTAAATTCACCTTCCCCTCTTCCCCTCGATGCTTCCGAGATCGATCGAGCGGGGGGAGGGAAGGATTCGCGCGCTCTCGGATAATTACGCGTCACGTCGCGCGCGCAAAACGTTATTGCACGCCGTTATTATCGACCACCTTATACCACTGTTCCGTCCGCCGACGTGCGCCAACTTCTCGTTGCGCAACAAGAGTGTGCGCGGGAATGATTAATGCTAATTCCGCGATACGGAATTGTCGGTAATCCCCGGTGACCCGTCGCGTTACGCCGCAAAAGTGCGAGCGAGGATTCTCCACGGGATCGCGCAAACGCAATCCCCTCGATCGTACGCAATTATCGGCGAATCTTCCGGCCGCACCGCTCGACATCGGATAATTTACCCTGCTGCTTTAGCCGCGCTCCTTCCAACGCCCGGCGAAGAGGAGAATCCGCGTCTTCGCACGCGCGCTCCTTGCGACACGCTCGTAACCTGAATTCGGAATGTAAACGTCATTGTCTTTCCGCGCCGGTACGGCGATGTAAATGCCTCGCGCAACCAACGGTAGATACGCGTGGCGCGACGTTAACCTTTCCTACGTAAACCGCAAATTTATTGGCCGTCACGCGCAGCCTCCAAGGATGCGTCGGAATAACGGCGGCGGTCGGTGGAGAAACACACCTGCCCCTCCACGTGCCGTTAAAATATTCCGAAGACCTTACCCGAATAAGCGGCCTGTTCCATCCGAGGGACGTATTTCAAATGCCCGACGGTATCGCGACCTGGGGAAAAAGCTTGCATTTCGGACGATGCTATTTTCGGACGAGGCCTGCCGACGTGTTCCGAAAGGTCAAATGCCTCTCGACGCACTCGCGCGCCCGCATCGTTGCACACCGCGAAATCACGTTACTTCCGGAAGGATTGGTCCCCCGCGATTATATACTCGAACCGTTAACAATTTCGCAGGAACCGGCGGATAATACGACTCGCCGGAAGCGATTCCGCGGTTTCATGCGCGTGTACGAACACACAGGAATATCGCACGCGAAACTGCACCTTCCCCCCCTCTCCTCCTCCTCCCTCTCTCTCTCATCTTCTTGTTAGCAATTTGCGACCCGCCGGCGAAATAGTGCGACGTCGTGCGTTGCGAGAACACTAATATTAACGATATACACACACGTATTTCTTTATGACGAAAGGTAAACACGTGTGGAGAAAAGCAAAAGCGAAACGTGCATAGTGACGTTGAAAACGAGTGTAAACGTGAGGAAAGAGCTACGGCCGAGCGTTATAAAATGACGAATATAATTATAGATGATATATAAGCGAAAGCGCAAAAATATTAATTAATAGAACCGCGTCCGAGAAAAGTTTTTCGTCGCACGATTATATTATTGTGTCTTCAGGAGATATCAACATTTCTTACGGCCCGTTATTATCGATAATACTCGGAATAAAGTATACAATTGATTTTATCATGTATACATAAAAATTGAGAGCGATATTTACAGGCACGCAGGATCGATATACCTACGTTCGACTTTTATTCTTGGTACGGATCGCGCAAAGTGTTAAACTTTCTTCCGTGCGCACGCACGAGCGCAACTTCTCATTGGCGGTATGTCCCCAACAGCGCAAATCGAATTTATTTCGATACCGCGCCTTCGAATGGCACTTGAGCGCATCGCCGGGCGCAGCTCCCGATGAAAGTAACGCGAGTGACACTTTCTCAGTGTTTACGAGTGCGAGGCTTCATTCGCGGCCGCTTTCGGAACGTCGCGAGACTCGTAACGTTTTCACGAGGCGATCGTAAAAAAGCTCGGTAAAAATCCCGTTTTCACTTCGGCCGGTCCTCCGGTCGCGCGCAAAGTCACGGCGAGGACCTTGAATATTCGGCGCGCCGGCTCGAGGAAAAATCATCCTCGCGATAACAACGGAGGGCCGCTTTTAGACACCGACGACGGAATCCTCAGGTTGCCGGGACGCATTATAAATTCCATTCTTAGGCCGCGCGGCATTCCTGACGCCTCTTAGCGCCGAAGAAGCAGCCACCGACAATGCATCGGGTTAAAAATGGTCTTCACGTCGAACAAGTGGGCGACGCAAAAATGAAAGACAAGTGAGGGCCCGATGAGCCAGGTAGAAAATAGAATCGGCGTGCGAGAGATTAATTCTGCATTCCTCCCCACACCCGAACTCTTCCGTGGCGATCCGGCCCGGTCGAAGACGACGTCCAGCCCGTGTCCTCCTCCGTTCGGATGCGAGTGTCATTGACAATGCGTTGTTGCAACAATCTGAAGAGGTCGCGTCGACCAACTCGTGGGACGTGTAGAAACTTGAAAGCTCTTCCCAGCAAAATTTCCGACGGTGGTGGGGCTCAACTTGAGCCGGCTCTTCATCTTCCTCAGCGAACAGGATGCACTTTGCTCCAACCGCTTTCCTGCAGCCCACCTCAAAGATGGCAGCACGATCCGGAAGGTGAAAGTCCCACGATCAAGAGGGAAGGAGTGGTGGTGCACATATAGAGGGGCGGAGAGGGCGCGGCTTGTCCAGACGCTCTCTGTCCCGACGACGATGACGACGACGACGACGATGTCGCCGAAGTTGATATTCCTGCTGGGATCTCTGTGCCTGCTCGCCGGTGAGTACGAGTTTTACTCCGCTTTGCGAAAGCTACCGCGAATTCATCGGTGGAATCGCGCCGGCCCCTCGCGCGTCCTGTGGGATTTTGTCCGATTTTAGACGAGACGACCGTCGCGAGAGTTGTAAGGAACTAGTTTCGCAGTCGAGAGAAAGAGAGATTGCGTGGCATTATGCAATGAAAGAAAACGCGAGCGACGTTGCTTTTCGATCATTTCGGGAAAATTGGAATTGTAAATGACGACGGGAGAGGAGGCGAGAATCCTCGAAATCGACGTATTTCCGAAAGAAAGAAAAGGTGGGAGAGGTGGAGGACCTACTTTGGAGAACCACTGTCGCTTTCCCCCCCGTTGCCCTGACATTTTCAAGACTTTCTACTTCTACCGCGGTTCACCGACCCCTCCTTCGATCTCCGATCGCGCGCACTCGTGTCGTGAACCGATCGTGACATTTTCAACGATTAATCGAATTCACCTCGGGCTCGTCTCCGCGCGAAATGTCACATTGAAACGAACGAGTCGAGCTCGCCCTTTGGTCGCGCCGATCTTCTTCAATTCCCGGCGCGTTTCGCCACTCGTCAATCGAGTCTTCGGAATCCCAATAGAATTTCTCCCGGGCGGAGCTTCAATTCAATACGCGGTATTAAAGGAACGTACGATCCTACGAACAATAACAAGTTGGAACGATTGAGATTTACACGCTTGCCGCGTCTCTGTTACCGGATTCGTTACGCGTCTGGAACGATGCTCGGGGACACGGTGTAATAATGATTACTAACGAGAAGGCAATGCGAGACGAATGCAAAGTCGGTTAATTAACGAACTGTATTCCTGTCGACAGGCACGCAGGTCAGAGCACAGGATGAGGAAGGTGGCGACGGGATCGACGCGAACGCCGAGGAGCTTTGTCAGGACCGGCCGGGCGACGAGTACTTTCGCTTGAGCGTTGAGGGCGACTGTCGCGATGTCGTGAGGTGAGCGCTCTTGTTATTTTACCGGCGAATGCAGAACCGGGCTGCTTGACGAGAGAAAACGGGAGAAACGAACGTCGACGATTCTCCTTCTGGTTCCCACCGTTCCACTGCGCGCGCGGAAAGGATCACGTTTGATCTCCGCGACCTCGCGGGGCGCTCGTCGTTCGCGGCCGCCATCGCGAAACGAGGATTTGCTAACGATTGTGAAAATTTGCTCGAATACTTTCGAATAAGCTGTTCGATTACTGGCAGCGAAATCACTTAGTACCATATATAGTGTACTAAACGACTTGGTTGCGGCAATTCAAGCATTTAGTTGAAACTATTTAATGAAATGTTGGCGATTGTCGGCGAATCCTTCTTTCGTCTGTTCTTACTTCGGGCATTGTCTAATATAATCGTAATTCGCGCGACGGGCGGACGGGATCGCAAGGTGAATAGGGCTCCGAAGGAGACGGAAAAACTCGCTTCCGCCCGCTTGGACTTACTCCGCCAGGAAGTAGTTAGATCTGTATTCGATGACCGGACTTTCTCCAGGTTTGAAGCTCGCCTCGATTCAGTCCCGTTCACTCGGCGCACGTTGGCCGTGTCGCTCGAGACGGTTTTGCGAAACGGACGGTTTGCCTGATGCATTTTTACGATACTCTTTGTCCGACGAGGAGAACGTAAAGCCCCCAAGGACACCCGCTTTTGACAGAGGATAACGCGACACCGTGCGGCCGGAATGCGCTCGATAGTGGAAAATCGCACGCGCCGATCGTTTATCCAACGATCTAGGATGCGATTGATCGCGAAACGTCCTCGATCGAATTCCGACTTTCCAGGCCTCTCGCTCAAGGCGATCCGGTAGATGCAACTCGACGCCAGTTGGTTAACGTCTCCCCCCGCTATTCGGAGATACGCTTCTTCTTTCCTTTCTATTTTCTTCCCCTCTGCGAACTTTCTCGTTTCGCGCGCGCGACACGAAGTCGTAAAGATAGCTCGATGTGAGAATAAACCCCCTAGGTGCGACAAAGCCACCGAGATCGGTGTGACCAGGCTGGCGACGGTGCGATGCCCGACCGGCCTCGCGTTCGACATCGAGCGGCAGACCTGCGACTGGAAGACGAACGTGAAGAACTGCGACCAGCTCGAGAGTAAGCGACATTACGCCTTTTTCCCTCCTTAGACTCACGCAGCCGCCTTTTTTGTTTTCGGCCCCGCTAGGTGTACAAGGTCCGGCCTGAAGCAAATCACGTGCCCCAGCGGACTGGCCTTTGACTTGGACAAACAGACCTGCGATTGGAAGGGCAAAGTCACCAACTGTGACAAGCTCGAGAGTAAGTCGACGGCGATGGCGGTATCTCGCGCCGGTAGAACGCCGCGATCCCTCCGTAGACTCGCAACGTAGCACGCACCATTCGTACCATTACTAACTAACGCATGAGATATCTCCGACGCGTCCCGACTCCGAGCGTCTCTGAAAAGGAAAACGAGGAAGAAAGAGAGAGAGAGAGAGGAAAAAAAGAAGAGGATGAAAGCCGGACTTTCCGGATGCGCGTTCTCTCGACTCCGCGCAGTTCCGCGAGCCAATTATCAATGAGAAATCACTTCTCGCGGCCGCTCGAGCTTCGGGACATTGCGCAACGCGCGTTGCGTAAACGACGAGGATCGAAAAAGCCAACTATGCGAAACTTTCCAGCGACACACGCACACACACACACACACGTGGTGCCATTAAACCGGAAAGCGCTCATTAACATAGCGACGGGATTCGACGCAAAATTGAACGGCCGACTTGTACTTTCAGCCAGCGCGATTAACGATCGGGAATGCCCGATACTTTCGAGAGACGTTACCCGCTGCTCGCTCTCGTCCGACCACTTTCGTTCCGAGGTGGCGCGACTGGTTTCGATTTTCAGCGAAAGTGCGAACGGGGCCTCCGGGCCCCGTCATCGCCGTTGTTGTTACCCCCGAGAACGCTTCAGAGACGCCAGAGAGTCGCGATACGTCCGACCGCTCTAACCCGGTTTCGACTCCTCGAAACTATCTCCCACATTTGTTTCATGCGATTTCCACGACTCACCGCGTACGACTAACGAACAAAGCTTTCCAAACGGAGTTGGACGAACGAACGAACCGGCAGCATTCTGCGATTCCGATACCCGGGTGGAAGCGGAGAATCGCGATGACGTGGAAATGACGCGCGGTTTCGTCCAACTCCGGGCCCCATCAGATTTGCCGTCGGCTTAACATTCGCCTGTCCTCGTTTCATTAACACCTAATTGCGCGCCAGTGCGTACGCGGGAGACGCTTACGACGTTATTCCCACGCGAGCGGTGATAATCGCCAGCGAGGGATATCCCATTCCTCGACCTGGAGCTATTAATTTTGAGCGCGATCAAAGTTAATCACCGTCTGGAGTAAATGAGACGCAGATATTTGTGCAGAGACGAAGCGAAGTAAAGGGAATTTTCTGCAAGAAAGAAACAAATAGTAGAAGCTATTTAGCTAAGGCGAACCCGGGAAAGCATTAAAGATGTACTGCTCATTAGTGCCGTATTTTCAGTGACGCATCAAGGGAGCCATTCATTCAATTTAGAATTTATCAAGCAAAATTACGCTCTTATATTTATTTCACTATCTAAGTAATAAATATTAATTGAAATTGATGTAAACATATATACACGTTATTACAAATACGAAGATATTATCGTTTTCTATTTTTCTTATTAATGCTATTGTCCGTTTATTAGTCTTTATAATACCATAGTAGTTTTTCATTAAAATCTTGCTTTTAGTTTAGAAAATATTGGAAATAGAAATGAAAAATGACACGCTATAATCTCAAGGCACACATATAAAAAGTAATCAACTTTAGTCACAAATATCTCAGCTCTCGAACGATTAACCTCTTTCTAATTGCACGAGCAATGAGTCAGATAATATTTCAGATAATATTTCAATATCATAGATAATATTCCAGTGTATACGCAGTGCAAGTTTCATCGAATTTTTATCGAACTCACTTCACCTTAAAACTCCTTTGAAGTGGAATAACTTTCGAAACTTTTCGGGCTCTGGATTATCGTCAAATTATCCGTGTCACCTTTAAATGCAACGTGTAGATTTCGAATCGCTGCGGATAATTTTTTCGCCATTTTTTCATTATTTTGATTTACGGGCAACGCGTCCTTAATTTCTCGTGCGAGATCAATTCTCCCGTCTTTCGTTCCTTCGTCTCCTTCGCTTTTCAACTTGCCTCCGCGGAGCCGCATTTTGCAATTCGCACGTCGATAATCTTTCTGCGTCGGCTGTAATCGCGATTATTGCGCTAGCGTTTCCAAACATAATTTCCATTTAACGCTAAACGCATCGCTGCGCGCGATTCTCATTCCGCTGAATATACGCAAGCGCGTCGCAAATCGAACAAATAAGGCCGCGTATGAAATAAACATGAGCCGAGCGCGCTGAAAAATGTATAGTGCACTATTTCGCCGTCGGTGGTACATATTAATTACATTTACATCGAGATCGAAGCGCACTTTTCTACCTCGCGTTGCCGAGCGCGCGTGCGCGCACGTTGCAGCCGACGCAAATTTTGAAATGTCACGGTTTTTTTTTTTGCGATCCGTTCGACGGGTCAACATTGGCGCGCAATCATTCTCTAACATTTCGCTCTCCCCCCGTCCCCTTAACGCTCGCTCCAGGTACGAGGTTGCACGTATTCGATCTTTCTCTCCGCGTCCAGATCGGTTTCGCTTGGACGATCTGGCCTCCTTACAGGAGCGCTCCTCGCTGCTCCGGCCGGCTCCGCTTTTACTACTGAAATCGCACGCACGCTCGCGCGCAATCAGCCACATCGTTAATCTCCCTTCGCGGGACTCCTCTTTCGCCGCTAATCCTCGTTTCACGACTGGAGGACGACGAGAAACGATCACGGGACTTTTTCGCATCCATTTCCGTAACACGATCGGTTCAAGCCACAAGTGTCTCGCGCGCACACACACACACACACACAGAGTGTCGCGCATTTTCTCTCGATTAGATCTGGTAGAAGCCGTACTAAAAAGCGTGGGCAATAAGCGGACACTCACTCGCGAGGAAAGCAAGAATCGAAAAGTCTCGACAGATGAATGCGAACGAGTAACGAGATGGGTTATCCTCTTCGCCGATCGATTCTTTACGCTCACGCTGCGCTTGAGCACACTCTAATTTCATTCCCCAAACTGTTACTCTCGCTCATCTTCGTTTCGCTCGCATCACAGCACATTTTCAAAGCTCATTTTTTTTCTCTCCTTCTTTCTCTCTATCTTTCTTCCTCACTTTCTCTCTCTCTCTCTCTCTCTCTCGCTCTCTGCCTTTCTTTCATACACACGAATAACGACTTGCGTGCATCGATGCCAGTCAACGAGGCAGAAAATAATGACCGAGTCACGATTTGCGTTCGAGTCGGCATCGCCGTCGAACGGAAGACAAACAATTCTCCTGCGAAAACCGGTAAAGAGGTTGCAGGACGAGGCGGGATGTACACCCTGTCCGTGACTGTGCGACGACGCGACGGACAGAACGTACGCTTTGTGACTGGACATGAGGGAAAAAGTCGCAAGGGCGAAAATAAACGAGAGAGACTGACAAACGAGACGAGAGACTGGGGACGAGACGAAAGCCATTCCGATGGAGGACCAGAATAAAGAAAGAGCCATCTCTCCGAGAGGCAACGGCGTAGGAACGTGTGTTGGCGAGCGTAGTTCCTTCGCGCAAGAATTTACCCCCCC